TTTTTTCCCTTTTACTATAGATTAAGCATACCAAATAACGAATGACTTTTTTTTATTAAATTTTATGAAAAGTAATTCAGTGGGGAGTATCAAGTTTTCTATGTAAATTCATTGTAATTTAATCCCCTATGGAAGCCAAAACAAAATATGCTCATACCATGTGATTTCTTAAAATGTAAAAAAATAAAATATTTTTTTTAAATTTGTAAACTAGAATGCTTAATCAAAAATAGTATATGAAAATGAACACCAGATTAAGAATTACAAAATTTGGTTTTACATTTTAATTTGAAATTTAATGAAATATATAAATTTGATTTTCATGATATGATATGCTTAATATAATAAAAAGATTTGTCTATATTTCTGAGATGAGGTATTGTAATTATTTACATTATTTACATTGTTCAGACTGTTGTCCTCAACTTTATGGTCATGTTCACAACATTCTGACTGTTCTTCTTCAGAAGATTAGAATTTCAAACTGAACTGTTTATTTTGTCCATCATTGGTTGGATCCAGTGATTTGACCCAAAGAGTTGTGAGTTCAATTCCTGGCTATGGCAGTGGTGATTAAAGACTTGGAAAGTTAAGTTTAAGGGAGATAAATGAGACGTCTGGAGGAGGTATAGCATGTGGAATTAGAGCAATCTACCAGTTATATAAGAGAGTAAATATTATATAGTTGTCCAGCAGTCTTTTCTTTAATAGACTTCATTTTAAAACACAAAAATAATATGAAGAAAACCATTTGTCTTATAGAATAATGCTTTCTGTATACATCAATCTACATTTAGTAGATTTCATGGCTGGTTTAATACTTTTCCTCCCTGTTTAAAGTTACATATACCTAAAAGCCTATTAACCTTATTCATGGTATAACATGAAAATACACTCACTGTTAAGTCTATCTAGTTGCTGTATATAAAATTACATGACATACTTACACTTAATCTTTTCTAATTCATTAATATCTATAAATTGATTGATTTGTTTTTTATGGCTTATCAATCTTTTACTGGTTATTTAAAGCCAGAAATTATTTTTTTAGATTGTAAAATTTTTGGGCGATAAGGATTTACTGATATGCCCTACTAATTAACCCATATATGGGGGTACTAGAGTTAGATTCATATCTTTCTAAAGAGTATTTGCATGTAAGTGAATATAACAAACCCAAGTGGAATTGGAACTTGACTCACTAATTTCCAATTCTAAGTTATTATCCCTTATACAACCTGCACATATAAGCTTATAGCATCTGGTATTTGCAAGTTGTCACCCATCTAGATACTGACCAGACTCAATGTTGCTTAACTAATTTCTCTTCTTTCTTGCAACCTTTCTATTACATGATTTATAAAGTGATCATTTCTAATGGAAACAAAAATTAAATGAATGTACTGACCTTCAGTTTTCTTTATTATTTTCACTTTTTCAGGAACTAAAAAGCAAAAAAAAAAGTAATAAAAGATGTTAAAACATAAGTTTTTCTTATATATTTTTACCGCATATAAGACTCTTTTCTATTTACCCTCTAACTTGGGTGGCCTCAAAAAGTAAGAATAATTTACAGAATTTAAACTGAATAATGCTACAAATATATAATTTAAAATTGAATTTATATTTTATTTATTTTTTTAGATGATGCCTGTGGCCTTAAGCCCTGCTTGAATGGATATAGGTGTTTTGATAAGAAGGCATTCATATGCATATGTACTCCAGAATTTATAGGAAAAACTTGTAGTGAAAATAAGGATAAAATTTATCATCTCTTTAATTTTGGCTTTTCCTATCTTGCATAATTCGCCTGTCAAATTTGTTGTACTTAACCTATTGTTCTGAAAATTGAGTTTTATATTCCTGTTTTTGTGCTTATATATATATATATATATATAAACCTGACATCATACGAGCATTAGATTCTGAGAAATGGATAAAAATATTCAAAATTGATGGGTGCACAAATAATTTCGTCATTAACTATACCATGAAAGTTTTTATAGAAAAGGCACAGGGCGGATACTTATGGCCATAGGAAAGTGACTGAAGCTGAGATACTATATCAGGATCAATAATATTGCTGATTCTTCTTTGTATTTTATCATAAATCTCTAAAATATATACCAGGAGCACAAGACTATATGTGGCAGCAATATTCAAAGCATGGATGAATGATAGAATTATAGATACATAAGATAGATTCTGAAAAGTAAATTTTCTAGATGCTAGATCAGGACAAATAACAATTTCTGATTCACTTTGTCATAAATTATGCTTCAAACTGTTTGATCAATTTTCTTTTAATGAAGTGAAAACAAAATATGGGAAAGAAAGTAAATGGACTTACCTTCAAATTCCTTTTTTATTTCCATGTTTTCAGGAACTAAATAAAAAATAAAGATTTAAATATCCAAATATATAAATTATAATCACATATATATCATATACAGTGAAGAGAGATATATATATAAGAGAGTTGTCGGGACAGTAGAAGAAGTCTCTTATATCCGGGTTTCTCTTATATTGGTCTATTATATATACATCAACACAGGCTCTAATTTGGGACCAGAGAAAATCTCTCTTATATCCGGGTTACACTGTATATCACCAAACCAAAAAGTAATGTTTGTTCTTCATTAATAACAACAGATTTTAAAAGTAGTGAAATAAATAGCAATAGGTAGGTTCAGATCCAAATAGCCATAATATCAGAAATGTATGTATGCTTGTCTGTCCCTTTGTAAAATCATGTGACATATGAGTCCTGCAGCAGACTTACAATATACAGGAATTGAAAAGGTCAAATATCGACATCATAACAAACAACTACCTTCCTCACTCAAGAAGAGCCAAGCCATCTTGTGGTTCAAAGTAGAGTTCTTTTATGTGGGTAAGAAAGGTTGTGATTGGTCAAAATTGGTAGGCAACTGCAAACAATTACCATATGAACTTTGTAATTTTTTTTATTTTTATTTGACTATGAAAATGTATTATTGGTCATTTTTTCTAATGTATTTTTATATTTTCATGTATTGACCTCAGTTCGTGGATTCTACCAGGTGCTACCACTCTAGGTTAGAGTGGATGTGGGATCAACAACAATTAAAAGGTTGTTCAACACTCCTCAAAATCTCTCTATCAAAGGCTTTGCTGCCATATGTAGTTTATCATCATACTCAAGATGATAATAAAATATATACAAAAGTTTAACAATTCTAAATCTAATCCTCAACACAGTGTCTCTGCTTCTCAGTCAGGGTACAAGGGCTGGTCAAAAAAGAATCATTCTTTAAATACAACAGATTTAATAGTCAAAGCAGAAAAATCATATTGAAATGAATATAACATTGTCTCCATCCTTTTTAATTGTGGTACAAAAGTTGGTCATTAAGTAATATGTGTTTCTCTTCGATTTAAACAGATTTTAACTATATCCCCAAATTCATGAACCAACACTAATTAATTAAGCCATTGTCCCATAATTTGCATTAGTGAATTTGGAGCCTTAAAACTAACTTGACTGCTGATTAATCCTGCAACTGCAGATTAATGCTGAGCACTACTAAAAATAAGACTAAGATGATACCCCTAGACATGGACAGTGGAATTAGAACAGTCTACTATCATAGATTAAATAAAGGGTTCACTTCAGAATTCTCTTTATGTTACCTGGATTGATATACACTGGAGGAAGGCCAGAGAACACAACAGCTAAAATGTTGTGGTAACAACAATGAAGATGAGGAGAATAGTCTGAATATAAATAGTGCACATAATCTGTTCCTGTATGTGTATTCTAAGACAGATTCCAATTTCACTAAAGGTCCTTGTAAATGAAAACAACAAAAGCACAACCCACATATTATAGAACAACAATCTGCTTACAGGATTCATTGACTCTAGTTACTTCTCTGTTTGTTCATAACAGCAAAAACTCAAGGTATTCAGTGCAAGCTGTACACTGTATCGACTGATGGGTCAAGTAGCACCAGCACTGAATTGGAATGTAATTTGGTGCAATGTTCCCAGTCATTATATGGTTGCCATCTTTGTCACTCACTGATATTAATGGCTTATGGCCATGTTGAAACACCAGTCCTCATATGATCACTGAAGTTAAGCAAGGTTAAACCTAGTCAGTATCTAGAGGGGGGACGATTTGAATTACCAGGTATGGTAAGCATGGATGCATTGATGGTGTAATTGATAACAGCACAGATTTGAGGATCAGACAGCCAAGTTCCATTTCCAGTCAGGTACACTATATTCACAGAATTCTCTGTAGATTACTTGGCTCAATATACACCTGATGAAGGCTGGAATGCACAATGGCTGCAACGTTGTGATAAAACAACAGAGTTGAGGACAATAGTCAGAATGTAAACAGTGTAAATATTTCTAAACATTTTAAAATTATATTTCAAAGTGCTTAATCAATGTGCATTTGCATTTATGAAGAGAAAACAAAACATGGGATTTAAGGAAAAATGGAATTTAAGGGAAAATGGGGTTTAAGGAAAAATGAGATTTAAGGAAAAAAGACTGCGAAGGAAAAATGAAGTTTAAGGAAGAATGGGATTTAAGGAAAAAAAACTGCAAAGGAAAAATGAAGTTTAAGGAAAAATGGGATTTAAGGAAAAAAAACTGCAAAGGAAAAATGAAGTTTAAGGAAAAATGGGATTTAATAAAAAATGGGATCTATAGAAAAATGGAATTTAAGGAAAAATAGAGTTTAAGGGAAAATGTGAGTTAATAAAAATGGGATTTAAGGAAAAATGAGATTTAAGAAATAATGAGATTTAAAGAAAAATGGGATTTAGAGAAAAATGGGATTTAAGGAAAAATGAGAGTTAAGGAAAAATGGGATTTAAGAAAAAAAGAGAGTGAATAAAAAATGGGTTTTAGAGAAAAATGGGATTTAGAGAAAAATGGGATTTAAGGAAAAATGGGATTTAAGAAATAATGAGATTTAAAGAAAGATGATTGTTAAGAAAAAAATGGGATTTAAAGAAAATATAGTTTAGGAAAAATGAGAGTTAAGGAAAAATGCAATATAAAAAAACAAATTAAAGAAAATAGGATTCCAGGAAAAATAGGATTTAAGGAAAAATGAGAGATAAGGAAAAATGAGATTTAAGCAAAAATGGGATTCAAAGAAAAATGGGATTTAAGGAAAATACTGACCTTCAATTTCTTTTTTAATTTCTACTTCTTTGGGAACTAAAAGAAAAAAGAGAGAAAAATATTTAGATTTATACAATATAATAATGTGAAATGTGGTGATGGAGTTCATCATTAATAATAGATTTAATAGTAGAAGTACCCCACACATACGAAAATAGGAACAAATATCCCAGGACATCATATATCTCCCTCAGCAAAGACTCCTTTCTTCTCATTTCTTGTAAAAAGATCAGTTAAACAGTAATGGCCATTATTTATTAATTTTAAGATTCCATAGGTATTCTTTGTATGCTTTTGCTAAGTGAGCACCAAAGTGCATCAGAATTTCAGCTGGCACAACACATATTCGTTGATACTATATAGCAATCCATTCATCCTTTCTTAGTTTCCAATTAAATTTTCCTGTTTCTTAATACCCTGTTTAGCTTTTGGAAGGCATCTTTTGCTATTCTCATAGTGATTCATATAATATTAATAGATGTCAACATTCTCATTGCGTTAAATTTTAAAAAAAAAAACTGTCTACCAACCTTTGATAATCTTTTCTTCCGGAACTTTGAAAAAAAATAAACAAGAAAAAAGTTAAAAGATTGTTAAAGATTAATCAGAATGAATAGTTTAATGAACATTTATAGAAACATACAGTCAGGGTCTCATGTCTATATTCATTTTTTTCATATAAAAATATTCATATAAAATACAAATTTTATTGTAGCTTAATTATGTAAAATAATAGACCATATGTAATGCAGGTGAACAATTCAACTAGAAAAACTGAAAATAAATACAATGTATCTAAATACAAATCAGAGATGTCATAACAGATCATTACATCTTAAATAAATCAAAAATGTTTTACAGCAATTTTTAACATCAACTTGAGTTTTTTCTTGTGAAAAAATTGAATAAGAACACATTCAACATTATGGATAAAAGAAATAGTGTATTTTATATAGCATTTTTCCATTGCAAAACAAATTCATGGATTTGGATTAAAAAAAAACATAATGATATCAAAAACTGCAAAAACGTTTCATCCTTTAATAGTTTAATTTGTAATAGCAAATGTTGATAAAATAGTAATGGTGATAAAGCCCTGCATGAGGCCTCCAATCAGGTTTTTACCCTCTCGATCAAGTGGAGTAGTATTCACCAATCCTGCATACAGTCAAACACATCTTCACAAGTATCCACACACAAGTGCACACACTTAATAAAAGCATGAATATAAAAAGAGACACATGTACACACACATACAGAAACACTCACTCAAATGCAGATTTTGTTTAATAATGCCACCAAAATACAAGAGGTTACTGAAAATGAAAGAAAATGAGAAGACATTAGTGAAAAGAAAGGATAATAAAAAAACAGGTTTCAGGAAGACAAAAGATGGTGCTTGATGTTGCATTTAAATTTCTAAAAATTGTAGGTAGCAGGTAGCAAGAAAATTGAAGAGAGTTCCACAAGGAAGAAACATGAGGTGGGTTTGGTTTCATGGTAATTGTTCTGATGACCTTTCATCTTTGGTATCTCAAATTTAGGCACAGTATTAGATTGGCAGTTAGGTTTTACAATTTAAATTGCTAAATGTAACTAAGTGTGTTGTTGTAGAGTAGTTTTCACAGTGGAGGCTTGTATTTCAATAAGTCGTCCTAAATTAGGTTCAACGTACAAAACGTTAGGAACTTGAAATAAGAGTTAATGACGCAGCAATCTAGTTGTGATGGTTGATACTTCAATGTCCGACATCGACTGACTTACTCAACACCACTGAGCCCAACTGGCGACCACTACTACTACTACTTATTATGTGTGGGAGAGTCTATTAATAATAGAATAGGTACATCAGGTATAACACTAAGTTCTATGCTAACAGTTCCTTTTCCCACACTCCTTACTTGTGAAACACTCTTCCGGCTTCTTGATTTCCAGACAACTTTGATCTTCAAAAATTTAAATGCAATATCAATCATTATTTTCTGTTTTCTTTCTTACTTAATAATTCTATTCTTTTTTTCATATTCTGTCCCACTCTGTAATCCCTCGTGTCTTAGTGGCTTTATTGTCTCACTTGGGGTGAAATGATTAAAAAAAAAAATATTGATTTCAACTAAACAAGAAGCAAAAGTACTAACCTTCAATTTCCTTTATTTCAGGGACTAAAATAATGGAAAAGATTTACTATTAGTCATACAGAAATACATATGTATTTATTTACATGAACAACAAAATATCTGAATAAATACAAAATGGAAACTTATCTTAGCCAACACGTTTCATCCTCTTAGGGACTTTATCAAGGCAAAAGGAAGGATTTTATTTTCTAACAAGTATTTATAGGCAAAAATAAAAATGTTCTTAGTTTTTTAAAATGTTTTAAATTTAAGAAATGCTCATAAATATTCATCAGGTTAGCTAAAAATCTAGGTATGTTATGGAGGACACGATGTGAGATAATTTAATGTATAATAAACAAAAATGAGAAAATAAACATAAATACACAATATACAAAAGAACATATATTTATTTATTGTTTATAAAATATTTTTATAGATACAAATATTTAAATAAATGCTCTCTTTATAATAAACAATAATGACAACATTTACTGATGTGAATGTCTAAGTAATTTTATAGAAAATATGTGTCCTCCAACAAGAATTGAACCTTTATCCTACATGGAAATGTCATATAGCCTGATATGCTATACCATTTAGCTACAGAGGAAGCATTTGGTTAGCAGGGTCAAATTACTGCTTTTAAGCTACAAATTTCCCATGATTTACTTTGAATGATCATATCGGCTTTAAGCATATCTTAACATAAACAAATGTCATATATTATGAAATGGATGAAGTCCAACAATTATTTTAACATATTTATTGTTTAAGTGTTATTTTTATATGTTTGTTCTGTGTAGGATACAGGTTCAATTCCTTTTGGCAGATACATACTTTCTATGAAATTTCTCAAACATTCAGGCTGGTAAATGTTGTTAATACTGTTTATTATAAACAGAGCATTTACTTAAATATTTGTATCTATAAATATATTGTCTAAATAATAAATATATTAAAATAATTGTCGGATTTAGTCCATATCATAATATATATATATATACATACACACACACACACACACATATATATATATAATGAAATATAGTTTTAAAGTGCGCTATATTTATGGGATAAAGGGCTCAATATCAGAGATAGAGCGTATGTAAACATAAATATAAAAATGAACATTGAAGTCAACACTCAGAGGTGACAGACTGTTCCATGCTAGATGCAATCATCAGGCTTGATGATTGCACCTAGTATGAAACAACCCTGTTACCTCTGAGTGTTGACTTCAATGTTCACATATATATATATATATATATATATATATATATATATATATATATAATCATTAAACTTTATTTTCATGGATAACCATATTTAAGTAGATGCTCCATTTATTTATTAAACAGTATATTTATTTATTATCATCAACTAGCCAGAATATTCAAGAAACCATATTAATCAAAAAAATCTGTTTCCTAACAGGATTTGAACCTGCATTTCTCCTTGGGCAGAGGAAATCCTTGTTAGATCCAATATGCTTTAAACTTCACTATTCAAGTTCATTTGGACATCAATGCACTTTGTGGCAGAGGGGTCTAAAGCATGTTGAAAATAATAACAGTTTCTTCTGCCCAGGTGGATGTAGGTTCAAATCCTGCTGGAGGGTGCATACTTTTCCTTTCTTTTAAGTGATAGAAAACTTTCTTCAAAATCAGAGAAAAAAAATGTGCCAAATCACTATGCTAATCTTCTCTATAGCAGTGAATGTGGGTCAGTTTTTCAAGAGTTGAAAAAGAGAGTCTTTCTACACCATCATTAAATTTGCCACTATCAAACATCTTAATAAAAGAGGAATTTGCAGTTGCATGACAGTTTTGAAGACAATTAGAAAAGCGAGGAATTTAGTACCACCCTGAACTTACTCCATATTTCATATCATTTTACTGTGGAAAATGGTTGGTAAAAAATTTAATTTTGTACATTAGACATACAGATTTTCAAAAGCAAATGTCTGCTTAGAATTTTCTTGAGTGTTCAATTCATACAACTGAAATAAATATGCAAAATTTAATAAAGACGTTTCCAAGTTTGTATAAAATAAATTTTATAGAGTAAGCTATGCACACTACTCATAGAAATGCACTACAACTGCTCCCAGACTAATGCACTGTATGCCCAGAAAGCAAGAAAAAAAGAAATGCTTTTCTAATTGAATTCCTTACTCAACTTCACATCAACACTTGGCAATGTGTACATAGTTGGTCATGTGATGTATCTGTATTTAATCCTGTTATATTCTGGAAGACGAGAGGCATGTCTTTTGATTACACCAGTCATGAGTGTCTTCTGTCAAACTACATTGCTGAATCAACAGGCAAAAATGCCAATTTCATTCAGCTTTAGATTGTAGTTCTTAAATTATGAATACAAAATAAAAAGTATATGTAAAAAAAAATGCTTAAGTACTAACCTTCAATTTCCTTTATTTCAGGAACTAAAATAATTAAAAACAATGAAATTATTAGTCATGCACACAAATTTATATATATTCAGTAACATATATATGTATTTAGGAAAATTAATCACAAAGTGGAAAAAATTTTCATGTGAAGCATTGAAAACAAGATCAAGCAATTAAGTTAGTGTCCTTTTTACTCTACTAGATGTTTTTATTGTAAAAGTTAAATAAAAACTGAAAAGGATATATAAAGGAATGGTTATATAAGTATATATATATATATATATATATATATATATATATATATACATATACATACAGTGTAACCTGGATATAAGAGAGTTGTCGGGACTGGAGGAGAAGTCTCTTATGTCCGGGTTTCTCTTATATCCGGGTTTGGTCTAATTTATATACATTAACACAGGCTCTAATTTAGGACCAGAAAAATCTCTCTTATATCCGGGTCTCTTATATCTGGGTTACACTGTATATATATATATATATATATATATATATATATATATATATATATATATATATATATATAAATTATTTTTTAAAATATGATTTCTTTGCTACATAAAACATGAGAACTCTTATGTAGCAAGGAATCATATTTTATTTTAAATAATTATAATTTAGGCTCTACTTTTGTATCAAGCATTGTTTTTTTAAAAATAAAAACAAAAATACTAAAGAACTTCAGATTACTTACCTAATGAGGTCATTCCTATTTTTATATATTTGCATTATATATATATATATATATATATATATATATATATAAAGAAAATTATATAAAAGATTATAATTATATAAATTAATTTAATATATTAATAGTAAATATAAATTTTAAATATTAATAAAATAAAACATTAAGATATTAATATAAATTAATATAGAATATTTAAAAAATAAAGTATTAATAACAAAATTAATTTAATATATAAATTATATAAGGAATAAATATAAAGGAAGGATTAACATTATTAATCTCTTCAGCAGCATCAACCACAGGAATCTCATTGAATAAATGAGCACTTTTTAATTTATTAATTAATCACATATTTTAAATTAGATTATTATGAGTTACTTTATAGTGTACATAAATGTTCCATCGAATTTAGTTGTTAAATACAAGTTTTGTTTTTTTTTTCACATTGAATATGAAATAATTAAAATATTGGAGGAACTTAACAGTATTTTCAATATATTTCTCCTTTTCTTATAAATATTGAGGATTACAACTATTACAACAATTATTCCAGATTTTATTTTGTTATTTTGGTGAGAATAAAAATTTATGAGATCATTTTTATTCATTGATTTGTGATGGACACATAGTTCTAAGTTATTGTAAATATGCTGTAACATAAGATCAAGGAAATGTAAAGTGTTATTTATTTCTGTTTTGTAAGTGAATTCTATCATATGTTTGATTTTGTTTATTTTATGGGTTATCCCAATTAACTTTACTAAAAGAATGCCGCTAGAGGTATTCCTTAGGCATATAAAAAGGCATGCATTTCTCTGCTTAGCCTCTTTAACAGCTTTTTATCTTGGGCTTTCAGATGTAGTTGCACTTGCATAAACTGTCTCCCACTGGGACACATTCATTATCATGGTTTTCTCTCTTGACTTTTGTACTCTCTCACACATGCTTATTATGCACACACACACACACACACACACACACACACTTATTATAGCTACTTTCATGTTTTTTCCTTTCATCACAATATATGAATTGTCATTTGTTTTATATTTATTGTTTTGTGTTACTCATTTTTACCCTGAACTCACATTGAGTCCACCAGTATTGTTTGTGGGATAAATTTTCCAGGTGACCATAAATATTTATTCTCTAAAGTGTTAATTCCCGCAAAATAATGGAGGCTAATATTTAACTAGTATCCCACAAGTTTATCTACATGGCCAGAATTAATCTTCTTAACATTGTTCTGACATTTAAAAAAAAAACATATATAATTTTTTTCTGATATATACATATGTACAGGATACAATGGGTAAATCGTTGCCATTTTATATTTTTAAGTTAATGCCAGAAGCTCCAATACAAACATTTCAGAGTATTTGGGTGTCAATGTGAGGAGAATGCAGAGGATTCAGAAAGAATTGGATGATTCTAATGGCATCAGTCGAAGGCAAAAAGTTTACAGCACCAGACATTCTGAAGTGGTCACCATTCTGAGAATATGTACAATATTACGAAGGTACAGCAGCTTGAAAAAACTCACTCTGATCATTCTGATAAGTAAAGAACTCCCAAATTTGTTGGTGAAGATGCCAGACTCAACACAGAGACCTTGAGGAGGTAATGCTGTCCTGGGTTAAGAGGGTGGCATCCAGAAGACCCAATGTTTGGTAACAGGACTCTGCACCATGCCACCCAAGCAGGAAAACCCAGTCATAGCTGTAAGACAATTTCTGCAACCACATCATCCCTTACACCTTGGCACCTAACTCTGCAGACTGCAAACCCCTTGATTATTATATGTGGGAACAGTTGAACAGGAGACCAACAAAACTCCTTGTAACACCAAAGATGAACTAAATTCACCAACCTAAACAAGGGGACCATCCAGAAGAGATGCAAGAGATTCTGAAGTAGTCTGGAGGCCAGGGTTGAAACCATTGAGGATTTTATTGAATAAATTTACTCCTTAGCATTTCAAGATATTTTTGTATAATTTTGGTAAACCTGTCTGTTAAAATGAGATGTCAGTGTTATTTTTTTTTTGCATAATTTTGACGACAATTTATCCATCGCACCCTGTATATTTATCTACAAAATACTGATATACACAACACATGAGACAGACATGTATATATATATCTACTGACATAGATTTATACAAGTATAACCACAAAATACAATTTTTTTATGTTATATAAATAATCATCTATGTTCTGCTATTCATTTACAAAAGCTTGTTAGGTTACTCACTGTTTTTCCTCTGCCCCTCCTCCCTTTAATATGTCCTGTAAGTGTCGAATTTTCTAAGCCTTCTATCCTCATTGCATCCTAGAAACTTAATCACTTTCTGATTCTATGTATGTGTCCTTGTTGCTCTCTGCATATTCTCAGATTGATGACCACTGATACCAATCTCTAGGTGAGTAACTTCTTAGTCTAACATTTACACTGAAGTGAATTGGAACAATTATATCAAATCAATTGCTCAGAGTTCTGCTAAGTAAGTTAGTTCACTGTGTTGTGCTAGACAATTTCACTTGCTTGAATCAATCTTTCAAATTTATACACCTATTATTCATCTTTGCATTCAATATTGCTGCTACATCTTGTCTGGTGATTCAGATATATATATATATATATATATATATATATATATATATATAAGGAACACACCAAAATAGAAACAGATCCAAGAGCACATAGGGGTCACTAAAACATTAAAAGATAAAATGCCGATAACTACTTGCTGGACCAACCTTAATTGTTTTATGACCCTTGGCGCAGAAACTCTTCATTGACAATTCTAGAAAGAAATTCGGATTACCAACACACAAACAGAGAATGTCTCATATCGAGAATATCTCACATTGAACATGAAGAAAATTAATTATTTTTAATAATATTATTTTTAATAATATGTAGAAATCTCCACTTTTACCTGAAGACGGTCATGAGACCAGAAACACGTGTCGTAGTAAAATTATGTAAAACAAAAGCATAATATTTTTCTAAATAAATCCACATTACAACCAAAAACGTTTGCGGCACCTCTCTTCTCTTCTTTTTAATATACATACTTTTCTCTCGTTGGAACCACTACAACATATTTCTTTTATATATATACATATATACATATATATATATATTTATCGTTTACAGAGATGGAAACACATTTCATTAATTTTTAATTGGTCCATTTGAGGACAGTTTTAGAATCATAGATGGAAATTCATTTCATTAAAATTTTAATTGATCCATTTAATGACAATCTGAGAATCACAGATGGTGGTCCATTTGAGGACAATCTGAGTCACAGATAAAAATGCATTCCATTAAATTTTTAATTGGTCCATTTGAGGACAATCTGAGAATCACAGATGAAAACGCATTCCATTAAATTTTTAATTGGTCCATTTGAGGACAGTCTTAGAATCACAAATGGAAATGCATTCCATTAAATTTTTTTTGCAATTAAATCTTGAGGCACAAAAACATTTTTAAAAATTTCTACTTACAAAATTAGCAACATACTTATGATGAGAAATCTCAGCTATGGCACCATCTCCCTAAATGGCACATATTTTTTGGCTATTTTTACAGCATATTTTCCCTTCCGGAAATAAAAGAGCTTCTAGTGACAAAAACATATCAAATTTTCCTTCATTTTCATTTTTACCATAAAAATATTTAAAAATTGTTCTTCTATATTCTGTGTCCTGTCAGGACATTGGTGATCATGGCTGTTCACAATTTTCTGTCTTTAATAAATTTTGTTATATCTAAACCCTGTTCTGTCCTCCATTTACTCGAGCTCACTAAAGTGGTCATGCATTATTTTCTTCTTTCCCTCTTGCTTTCAATATGAGCTATGAGTATCAAATTTTCCATCCCTTTTTCCTCATCATGTTCCCTATAAATTTCAACTATATCTTACTGATTCTATGTATAAGTATCCTTTTTTTTCTTCATTTTTCTCTAGTTTGACCATTGCTCACATTTTTGATCTATTGTGTTCTCAGTAGCTTTCTGTAAAATAACATTTCTGCTGACTAGATAGGTTATATTTTGTTTTCCTCTTTCTCTCTTCTTTCAACATGTCTTGCAAATATAAAATTTTCTAAGTCCTTTTTCCCCCATTATTATTTGTTCTAATGTTAAGTATAAGTGTTTTTTATTTTCATTTTCTCTAAAATGTTGTCAACAGTCAATGGCATTCTCAGCATCTTTCTGTAAAACAACATTCTGATTGCTTCAAATTTCTTCATTTGTGAGATTTGCCTGCATTTACTGTCATATAAGAGGACTGACATTTCACAACAGCTCAGTACTTGTTTCTTTGTTTCTTACAAAATTTTCCTGTTTCTTAATAATTTGAAGTGTTTACAGGGACATCACATTGAAACACCTGTTCCCATATGATAATTGAAGTTAAGCAATGCAAAGCCTGGCAAGCTAGATGGGTTACTACTTGGGAATATTAGGCACTGTAAGCTTGTATTTGAGGACTGTGTAATGGATAATAGCTCAGAATTGTTGATCTGAGATCAAAACATTATATTCATTTATAAGCAAATATACTTGGGAAAAGTATGAATTCACCTCTTCTCCTCCCAGCTATGGGTTAATTAGTAACAATTGTATTACTAAATTATAATTATCTACAAAAATTAAAATTGCATACAAAATATTTAGATTTCCTCATTAAATAACCCATAGAGTTTAATATGTCACAAAACACAAAATATACTTGGAAAAGGTATAGATTCACCTCTTCTCCCACAGCTATGGGTTAATTAGTAACAGTTGTATCACTAAATTATAATTATCTACAAAAATTAAAATTGTATACAAAATATTTAGATTTCCTCATTAAATAACCCATAGAGTTTAATATGCCACAAAACACACAAATATACTTGGAAAAGGTATGAATTCACCTCTTCTCCCACAGCTATGGGTTAATTAGTAACACTTGTATCACTAAACTATAATCATCTACAAAAATTAAAATTGCACACAAAATATTTAGATTTCCTCATTAAATAACCCATAGAGTTTAATATGTCACAAAACACACAAATATACTTGGAAAAGGTATGAATTCACCTCTTCTCCCACAGCTATGGGTTAATTAGTAACACTTGTATCACTAAACTATAATTATCTACAAAAATTAAAATTGCATACAAAATATTTAGATTTCCTCATTAAATAACCCATAGAGTTTAATATGTCACAAAACAAAAGCAAATAAACAATATTAATACTTTGCTTAGCTTTTGGAAGGCCTATTTCACTATCCCAATGTGCCTTCAGATTTCAACATTGCACTTTCCATCCTAGATATTCAAATTGTTGCACATGTTTGATTTTGGTATCTGCAATTTGTAATTTGCATGCTGGATGAATAGTGTAGAAAGATATGTGGAAATGTCCCCTTTCAGAATATGTTAATATCACAAATTTCAGTCATGTATGAAATGAAAGCACATGTCCAAACATTGCCTATTAAAAATACTATAATCTCTTCTTCCAAGCCAGAACAAATCCAGAGAATAAAAACAAATAGAAAAAGTGAACAGTTATCTTTGGTTACCTAATATGGAAATATCATTATGTAGGTGTAGACTAATTAGCCATGGCTAAATGTAACTGGCAGAAATGCTCAACAAACAGAATTGACAAAATTTGCAATAAACAATAACAAGAGAAAGAAAAGAACGGCAGAAATAATATCAAGCAAACAATATATGCAAGGTAGAAAACAGCAATGAAGCAAAAAAGTTCATAACTAGGAATGGTGTTAACACACAAAGGATCACAGTATTCTTACTTCACCACTAAAAAGAAAAGAACCAAAAACATATCTGTAAAAGGACAATATTTGTCATGCTTACAAAATAGCTGTGACGAAAAACATCTTACCTTCAATTTCTTTAAATTTCGGAACTAAAAATAAAGAAATAATTAAATTATTAAAATTGTTCTTATGAAGTTCTAAAATGTATATATACAAAATAATTTAGGCAAATAATTTTACTTGCATTATTTAGACTGTTATGGTTTGGTTTGTTTGTTTTGTTTCATGGCATATCAACATCAATGGGTTATTTAATGTTGACAAAATTTTTATTGCTGCTAATATTTTGTTTTGTCAAAAATCTATTTCTGATAATATTTTTCCTTCAAAAATGTATTACTGATAATATTTTTTTTCAAAAAGGTATTGCTAGTAATATTTATTTTTTTTTAAATTGTTGGTAATATTTTTTTTTCAAAACTGTATTGCTGGTAATAGGTTCTTTCTTCAAAAATTTATTGCTGGTAATAATTACTTAAAGTATTTCTGGTATTAAAACCTCTTTGTACACTTTCATGGTGTTTTTGCCTCAGTTTTGGAGTTAACTATTTTGCCCATAGCTGGGACTCTAAGAGATGTTACCACCCCAGGTCAGGGTGGACCTGAGAACATCAGCAATTAAGTAGTAGTTCCATGCTACTCAAAACCTCCTGATCAGAGGTGTTGCTGCTGGATGTAGTTTATTGTCTTACCCAGGATGGCCAGACTGTTATCTTCATCTTCATTGCCATATTTACAATGTTTCAGCCATTGTACACTCCGGCTTTCTTCAGGCGATTGGAATTTTGAACTGAACCCTTTATTTCATCCACTTTGTTTATTTTTGTATTTTGGGGACTTATAAACCAAAAATTCATACACAGATGACCTCAAGGACACATAGCCCAGTGGATAAAGACATTGCTTAGACTAGACCCAAAGAGTTGTGAGTTCAATACCAAGTCACAGCAGTGGTGAACCAAAATTTGCAAAGTTAAGTTAAAGGGAAATAACTGAGACATCCGGAAGAGGCATAGCACGTGGATCTAGAAAAGTCTACCCCAGTGGACAAAATAAAGAGCTTGATTCAAAATTCAAATCTCTTGAAGAAGGCCAGAGCATACAATGGCTGAAACGTGAGTATGGCAATGAAGATGAGGATAGCAGTCCAAATAATGTAAATAATGCAAGTAATCATAATGCCTCATGACAGAGATATAGACAGATAGCAAATATTTTTTTTTTAATTATAACAAGCATATTTTTACTTCAAGACAAAAAAAGAGCAGAAAGTGAGACTGAAATGTGTCTTATCTTATTGGCTAGGAAGAAATCCCAGCATGCATCAGTGTGTTTTGTCTATAAATTTAAAGAGAGTGTTGTTTTTTCAGTTATACCTAACATGACTGGAACCAACAGTAGGTAAAGGTAGTTTTTCATACACCACAATTTGTGTTTATTTAGAAATTTTATTGAAAACCCTATTTTGATATGTAAGAAAAAGTATGTATAAAATATAGCTGAAACAGGACAATATTTGTCATGCTTACAAAATAGCTGTGATGAAAAAAATCTTACCTTCAATTTCTTTAATTTTCGAAACTAAAAATAAAAAAAAACATTAATTTATTAAAATTGTTCATATAAAGTTCTAAAAGGTGTATATACAGAATAATTTTGGCAAATAATTTTCGCAAAATTATAACAAGCGTATTTTAAGCTAGTGTCTCTCTTTTTCTTCTTCCCTCTAAGAACATACACTTTTTCTTCTCTCTAAGAATAATGAATTACTGAATTATTTTCTCTTTCTAAGAATTTTTAATTATTGTCTGTTGCAATTTTGTATTGAACTGTGGCATTTCAAATAAAAAAATTAAATCAATGTAATTTTTTGGCCAATAAAGGGAATAGAAGTCTCAAAACATGTACCAACATTCAATAAAAAATATGTATTATACTGATTTGCCTACAGTTCTATCATGTTGATAATAAGGTGCAATAATTTTTGACTCTAAATAAATATCAGGTTATATGAATAATAATGTTATATTTTAGGATAAAGAAATCCATTCAAATATTACTGGCATTAAATTTATTATAAGAAATCACAAAATTCTACTATCAGAGCATATAAGATATCTGCTATTATTTAACATTTAATATTACAGTATTATGAAGTTAGATTAAGTACAAGCCATTTTGAGTGAGAGAAAAAAAAATGGGGACATATATAGCTTCTGGTACATTTGTCCCAGAAACAATAATTGGTGAACTCAGGTGAGTCCAGGCAAAAATATAAGACACAAAAACTTGGAATTTAAACAAACAAGTATTAATAAATATGTTAAATGGATGTGTTACAAAAAGAAATGTGAGAAATGAAGTTAAAGTTGTGAATAGTTCAAAGTAACTTTCAGTGTGTCTCCGACATATTAACATGTAGACAGAATGAGAAGAGAATGTATTGTTGCTGCCAAAGTCAAAAAGGAAAGAGGAAAAGGCTTTAAAAACTTGTGCCACCTGCGATTACCATCAAAGGGTAATAATTCAATATCTCACTGACTGTGGTTATCATTAGGGAGTGGTAATCCAACATGACGAAGAACATCTAGTGATTAAATGACAATTTGAAGGTACTTATGCAACTGAGTTACAAGGATGCATTAAAATGCATCTAGTAATTTGATCTTCTCTTGGAATTGTTTGCTTGAGCGTTGAGTTGCAATGGCATTATGAAGAATGAGATGTTTTCAGTTGACTAAATAAGAATATTGTTTATATAAATTTTCACTCATCAAAATAATTATTTTCGTTTGGTTTGGTTTGATTTGATTTGTTTTACAGCATCTAAACCTCAATGGGTTATTTAATGCCAACAAGATTTTTATTGCTGGTAAGATTTTTTTCTAAAAATTTATTGCTGGTAATAATTACTTTCTTCAAAAATTCATTGCTGTCAATAATTTTTTACAAAAATGTTTTTCTGGTATTGAAAAATATTTTTACACTTTCATAGTGTTACAATTTCATAATAATTTTTTAAAGTATTTCTGGTATTAAAACCTCTTTGTACACTTTCATGGTGTTTTTGCCCCAGTTTTGGGGTTAACTATTTTCCCATAGCTGGGACTCAAACAAATGCTACCACCCTGGGTCAGGGTGGACATGAGAACACCAGCAATTAAGAGGTGGTTCCACACTCCTCAGAACATCCTGATCAGAGCCCTTGCTGTTGGACGTAGTTTATTGTCTTACCCAGGATGGAAATAATCATCTACTCTGATTGTTTTACGTTATTTTTAACAGACAAAAGCTTAATTATTCCACCAACTACTCACCAAAACCTTATAAGGGTGAAGCTTTATGGAGTCTCTTCATTTTTTTGAAAAATGAGAATAATCTGATATAAACCAAGATTTTGGAAGTAACAAATATAAACAAAATATACAGCTAAAGAAACTATTAAAATATAATAAAAAATATACCCTCATTTGAACTGACAATTTCAATTTATGTGCTGATAAGTGCAATGCTACATAGGCGATTATGACCCTCTACATCTTCCGGTCTCCTTTAGTTTTTAATAAGTTTTGTCCTTTTATTATTTCTCTCAGTCCCTTTTCTACCATCCATTTATTCAAGCTCATCAAGTATATTAAATGCTGCTTTCCTCTGTCCCTCTTTCTGTCCTGTGAGTATCAGATTTTTCAAGCTGTTCTTTCTCATTTCATGCCCCCAAAATTTGAACTGCCTCTCCCTGATGTTAAGTATAAGGAAACATGTACACAACCGAAATCAAAGGAAGAAGAAATAAAAATAAGAACAATTCTTATAATATTCCTCATGGAAAAGCAACAAGAACGAAAAATGGTAGTGAATGATACTTCTTCCATTTCTTCACCTTTTTCTATGTGTCATGTCCTTTCTAGACGTTGATGATCATAGCTCTCCCCAACTTCCTGTCCTTTGGAGTCCTTAATAAATTTCATCTTTTTCTTATCTCTCCTAAACCTTGTTCCACCATCCAAGCTTAAGCAAGCTTGCTTGGTAGGTTATGAAGCGTTTTCCTCTATCTCTCTTGCCTTCAATATGTCCTGTGAGTATCAGATTTTCCAAGCCCTCTTTTCTCATTACATGCCACAGAAATTCAACTGTATTGTTCTAATGTTAAGCATAAGTTTCTTTTTGTTTCCATTTTTCTCTAAAACTTTGCATTTGCTCACATGTTCAGTTCATGGTATCCTCAGCATCTTTCTGTATAACCATATTTCTGTTGATTCAAGTCTTTTTATCATCGTTGAGGAGATTGTCCAGCATTCCTTAGTTGGCATGAATGATATGTCTAGCCAATATTTGATTAATAATAGACTCTTCCACTTTGATCATGAGTAAAGATGAAAAACATATCAGAGACACAGTTTGTCTTCAATGAGAAAAAAGTAAGAAAAGGAAGAAATGAGAGGCAATAACACTTCCATGTGTTTAACACTTGCTTCAGTGAAATGGGAAAATTTGTCAATTTCAAATCTTTTTATTTGTACCCTCTTACTTCTTTAAATAATAAACTGCATTCATACTTATGATTGCAATGTTTTTGAAAGTTGTTAAGCTCAAATATTTTGCAATTGTGGAAATCTTAACTTAATGGAGATTCATCAGAAAAGTAAAACAGGTAAACTTAAATTTTCAAGGGTACTACTAGTTAGTACTACTTGTTAATACTAAGTGAGGAATTGTATTAAAAAATACTAACCTTCTATTTGAACTTTAATTCCTGGAAGTAAAAATGTAAAGTTTATGTTTCATCAAACAATGTTTCATTAAAAATGTTTCATCAAAAAATATGACTCAAAAATTTTCCATCACACAATATTCTAAACTTGATATTTGGATATGATTAAAAAAACATGTGAAATAAAATTATTATCAAACATAAAAAACAAATTTTATATACATTCCTATGCTTCCTTGCAGTCAATTAAGAGAATACCTCAAAACAGATTTCAATATAAGAGGAAATGCTGAAAGGTTCTCAGCCTAACCAACTTCCTAAAATCTGACCCACTAACCAAATATCAGAATTTTAAAAATAATCTTTTTTGACCAGGCTAAGAACTTTTCAGCATCTTCTTACAATAATAAAAAGATATAGAGATGGGGTTCTACCAACAAATATTAAGGAATACAATGGACAGAACATCAGAGAAACAAGGAAGTTTCAAAGAAAATACAAGTAAACTTATACAATTAAAATGAGCTGAGGAATGAAGGGTTGGAGAATTTAACACTCACAAGTCCTTCTGAAGGCAAGAGAGGAAAAAGAGAAATGTGAGTCACCTACTTAATGAGGTTGCATAAATAGATGCCAGACCAGTGACAAATAAAAAGATGTTGAATAGCCAAAAGTTACTTAGAACAAGATGGGAAGTTGTGGAGAGTCATTATTATCCACATCCTGAAGAAACATGGCACATTAAAGAAGAACCAATAATAGTTGATACAGTTAATATATAAAATATGTCTGGAAAAACAAGTAACGGGTGCGATGGTTAAATTGTCGCCATTTTATATTTTTAATTTTGCAAATGTTTTTGATTTTATCAACTGCACACTAATACTAGGGTCAGTTGGCCAGCATCTTTGAGAAAAAGAGCAACATGATGCATTCTGCCAGAAATTTGGAAACCACATGCTGTACTACTTAGCATTTGTGCTGGAATCTCCAATACATACATTTCAGAGTATTTGGGTGTCAATCAGAGGACAGTGCAGATAATTCGAAAAGAGCTGGATGAGTCTAATGGTGATTACGAAGGCGTTTGGAGTGGTCACTAGTGATGGCGACATTATACCTCCATTCATCTTCCTACAGGGCCTCAGACTCCACATATAGGCCTATATCATGTGCCTTAAAAAGGTAGTGTTTCCCTAGGTCAAAAAAGGTAGCTACTGGAAGACTTTATATCTAGCAATAAGACTCTGCTCCATGCCACACAAGCAGGAGAGCCCAGTCCTGGCTGTCAGACAATTTCTACAACTACATCACCCTTTACATCTGGCCATGTAACTCCCCAGACTTCAACCACCTTGATTATTATGTGTGGGACACAGTTGAGTGAGAGACCAACAAAACTCCTTGTATCACAAAAGATGAACTGAAGGCAAGGAATATGGCAGCATTCAAAAAGAAGGAGACCGTCCAGAAGAGCTTCAGAAGATTTGGTGGCCGTGGTTGAAGCCAATGGTGATTTTATTGAATAAATTTCCCCAAATCTGGAAACTAATACTGATGGTATTAGTAATCTAGTACAAGACAAAAGCTTCAGTGTTATTTTTTTAATTTTAATTTAGGCATAAAGCCTTTTTTTTCTTTTATTATACCTACTGGATGTATATCATGGCTCTCCACTAGTTCCTGACTTTTGCTGCTCTAAGTATTTTTAACTACCACTTTGTCATTGTTTCATACATCTAATACAATGGTTCCCAAATGGTACAGTACACCTCATATGTATGGCAGAAGATAGCAGGCGAGGCAGAATGATTGAAAAGACAATCAGACATTGAGAAACAGTTTCAAAAAATTCATACCCCAAAAATAAATATGATTTCAAAATTTTAAATATTATTATGGATTAATACTGGAGTCCCAGTATAGTTATAAATAATTATTGGCCGATTTTGTAATATTTTTGCATTATATCAAGTATTAAGAATATAGTAACTAGGATCTGCAAATTAGAGGAGAGAGTTATCAATGATAATGTTCTGACTTTAAATCTGCAGTTATCTCCCTTTAAGACTCCCTGTTTTTTATTTTTAAATGTACTTTTTATCACATAAAATTTGGTGAGACAAAAGCAAATTCTCATTCTAAAAATGCAGCCCAGAGAAAAAAACATTTAGGTACCACTGATCTAATACTACTCATGTAATGAAAAGCTGGAGAAATGAAATGAAAGAAATCCTCATTAAGAATTCATAACAATTGACAATGTTTCTTCTAAAGAAATACAAAGAAGATGTGTCTTTATGTAAATGAAAGGAGCAATTACTTTAATTAAGACTTTTAATTAAGATTTTTCACACAGCATGATCAAAAATTAGTCATTTTTGATTATATTTAATAATTCTCTTAGATCTTTGCTTTCAAACAAAGACAATAGAAATATCAACAAATACAATGTTGAGGATTGGTTGTGAAAGCAGAACAAACATTTCCTTTTTTATGTTTTAAGTTTTCAACTTCTATCTAAAACTAAACAAGCATTAAAAAAAGAGAGAAATATATAAATTTGAACAGATAGGTTTATTAACAATGTTAAAAAAAAATTATAGTTTGATGCAAATGTTACCAATGCCTTCTTTTGCAGCATTATTAAAATCTTAGAAATTACACTAATTTATTTGGTTGATATTTTTTTAAGCATTTCACCCCATGCAAGGCGGGAGTGCCACTAGCACACAAGGGGTTACATAGTGTGAGAGAAAGAGTAAAGGGGAGTGTTTCAGGAAAGGATATAGAGAAGGACAGAGATCAGGATCAAGGTGTCAGAAGATGTCGATTGAGATTACATTTGAATATTTGAAGATTATAGCAAGTAAGAGGAAAGGAGTTTCACTGTTGAGAAGTGCGAGATAAGCAGCTGTTGGAGTAGAAGAGACAGCTACATTTAACTATTTTGACAGTGAGAGGATGAGACTGAGATGCCAACCTAGTAGCATACTTAAATTCATGCAATTGGGGTACCAGTGAAAGTAGCTTGTCACAGCAGTTGGCATGAAAATATTTGTAGAAAAGATAAAGAGAAGCCCCAGCATGTCTGTGAGTAAGTAATTGTAGACGAGATGCCACACATTGTATATCTGGATATAGTCAAGAACATTGAGATGAACAGCAGGAGCACCAGATCATATATGGCAGCAGTATTCAATGCAAGGATGAATGATTGATTTGTAGATTTGAAGGATGGACTCAGGCTAGAAAAACCTTCTGGCATGACACAGAGAACCAACTTTCCTTGCGGTAGATGAAGCTATTGATTCCACTTCAGGTCAGTGGAAAAGCATGAGACCAAACAGGCTCAGAGAAACACTCTCATGGATTTGGGTATCAGCCATTCTGATGGGAGGCAGCAAGGGTTCTCTATGGTGGGTAAACGAGAGCAGTTTTGTTTCGGAGGCTTTAAAGTTTACAAGCCATTTCCTGCCCCAGTCACATAAAATGTTTAAAAATCTAAATGCAATGCCAATTGCTATCTTCTTTCTTCCTGAACTCTATTCTTTTATTGAAACCTGTAATCATTACTGGATTTTATAGGTGGAAACTTGTAATCATTACTGGATTTTATAGGTGGAAACTTGTAATCATTACTGGATTTTATAGGTGGAAACATGTAATCATTACTGGATTCTATAGGTGGAAACTTGTAATCATTACTGGATTTTATAGGTGGAAACATGTAATCATTACTGGATTCTATAAGTGGAAACCTGTAATCATTACTGGATTTTATAGGAAGAAACTTGTAATCATTACTGGATTATATAAACTTATAATTAATATTTACTTTATTTACACTTGAGCTACTGTCCTCATTTTTGTTGTTATCAAATTTTAAACATTGTGGCTTCCAACCTTTCTCAGGTATTTGTTGAACCAGATAACCTTCAAGGAATTGCAAACTGACCACTTCATTTAATCTATGGGGGTAGACGGATCTTGTTCCACAGACCATGTCTAGGGATATCTCATATAGTTCTGATTTCCTGCTGCTCAGTTATTCCAATAACTGATCAATACTAAATTTTTGTTTTCAAATTATAACTATTTCAAGTCTGCGCTAAAAAATGTTGCCAATATCTTTCTTCATGGAAAAAAGTCATTAAAATAAGCACTAACTGAGAAAGTCATTAAAATGAGCAATAACTGAGAAAGTCATTAAAATAAGCACTAACTGAGAAAGTTATTAAAATGAGCAATAAATGGGAAAGTCATTAAAATGAGCAATAAATAAGAAAGTCTCTTGTTAAAAAATGAATTGGAAAAAGAGAAAACATGAAATCAATTCATGTAAAATTGAGATTTTTGTATTAAAGTGATTATTATTTAAGTTATTTTTGTATAAATTTATTTTCAACATTAACCAAGTAATATTCAATCCCCTATTTTCCTAAAACTATAATACCAATTGTTTTTTGTGTTTTGTTTTTTAGAAACCTATAATTATTTGGGGGGAATTTTTACAATTAATATTAGAATTAAGATGAGTATTTACAGATTATTATGATGGGGGATTATCCCAAGATGTTTATGAATCCTGTATAAATTAATTACTATAAATCTATGTAGATTTCACTATACATAAAGTTGGGAAGTTGATTCTCTATTATAAGTAATAAATTGATTATTGACCCACAAGAATTACAATAATATAATTTGAAAAAGGTGGATTTATGCAATAGGCATCCTGAAATAATCTTTTCACTTTTTTACATATTATTAGAGATTAAGCACTTCATACCATAGAGCAATAAAAAAAAATTAAATTTCATAAAAGCTAATAGGGTTTTCAGTTTGCTATGCTAATTCATTGTAAATTGATCTTTCCTATGGAGACCAAAATAAAATATACTTATATCACATAATCTCTTAAAATGTGAAGAAACTTAAACTTCATTAACTGGAATTTTTTTCATATATTTCTAATATTTAACAACTCCAGATTATGAATTTAAAAAAGAATTATTTTTTTTTATGTTTTCAGAAATCATGTCATATTAACATATTTATTTTAGCTTCCATAGGGGGATCAATTTAAATTGGAAACTGGACTGCCTGTTAACTTTTATAAAATTTAATACATTTATATAATAAAAAAAACTCATTATTTGGAGTGATTAATCTATAGTGATATGAAAAAAGCTATTATTTTTGTTTGCAATGCATACTGTACATCTCCAAGGAAAAAATGTATTTAAAAACTTACATGAAAAACCTAATAATAGTAAAGACTTAATAAAATGTGGCATAATTTCTAACACCATCAGTAAATTGTATTAATTTAAGATATTACTGCCAATTGGATGGGATTATATCACTGACAATGACAGGAAATATAACCTCGATTAGATAGATCAATTAAAACCTTAGCAGTATTATATTGTTTAATCATTTACCCCCTGCTCACAAGTGAGACAATAATGTCACTAAATGTAAAAGAGAATGAGAAGACTTTAGTGAGGAGAAAGGTCAATAAAATAAAGGACTCAGGAAGACAAAAGATGGTAATTGACATTGCATTTAAATTTTTGAAGATTGTAGATGGCAGGGAAGCAAGAAACCAAAAGAAAAAAGATTGAGAGGTGTGGGAAAGAAAGAATAGAATATATGGTTGCATTCAAAAGTAAAATGGTAAGAACTAATTGTGGGATGAAGACAGAAATAAACACCAAGACAGTCAATCATCAACTGACAAAAGAATGGCTTCTAAGTCAGAGGATTCATGTATCCTTCTGGTTAATAAATTAATCCTTTGAAAATAAATATTTAACATTTTCCAACCAACAGGTCACATTCCTGTTGATGGTAAAAAAACATGCTTTATGATCCCTTTGAAGTGTATTTAAGCAAAGCTTCTAGACTAGACAAGCAAGTAAAGAGATAGAGATGGATACATGTGACATCAGTTCATGACATTGGCTTCAAAAAGATTCCCTTACTCATTCACCTGTCTTCCTCACCAAGCTACGTGCTACTAGCCCTTTCCACCTCAATTTATCCCTCACCTGGGTTGATTCAAATTTTCAAGAATAATTACCGATCTAATAGCATGCTTAAATTTCTGTATAGAGGTGCCAAGGAGGAAAGCAATATTTATTTTGAAAAATACAAAACTGTGGCACAAGGCCAAAAGTGCAGGATAGAAAATAGCTTCTTTTCAACCTGCCTTACCTTAAAGTTAACTTACCATGATTACTTAGCCAAACATACAACAATATTCCTTACACCAAAACAACATGTTCTTATTTACCATTCTTACTACAGCCACCATAATACCTCACAGTCTGAATATAATCTGAACTTGTTCCCATATGTACAATTTTTCTGGGGTGGGCAGGGAATAAAATAACAATATTTAAAAATTAAAACCCTCATGAAAGGAAGAAATCTCATTAGAATAATTAACATGAAAATATTTACAGAAAAGAGAGAGGGAAGCTACTTCATGGCAAAGGAAATGTGACTGAAGTTGAGATGTGAGGTCAGAGCTGATTTCACCCAAAGCAAGGCTGGCATGCCACAGGTATGCAGGGGCTTACAGGGAGCAAAAGTGAGTGTAAAAGACTGAGTATAGGGAGGATTGGGGAAAGGACAAAAGATGAACGTGATTCAAGAAGATAGAAGACAGCGATTGACATTACATTTAGATTTTTGAAGATTATGTTCATCAGGGAAGCAAGTAAATGAAAGGTAGTTCCACAGGTGGGAAGTGCAAGAAAAACTTTTGAAGTAGAAGTGGCAATTGCATTTAGATATTTCAACAGTAAACAGTTGGGACCTAGATGCCAGTCTAGTGGAACACTTAAATGTTATGCAGTCAGGGCACCAGGGAAAAAAGCAGTTGTCATGAAAATATTTGTAGAAAAGACAGAAGGAATTTATGTCACATCAGTGAGAGAGTAACTGAAATTGAGATGTCAAGTCGGGATTGCTATACATTACAGATCATTCTTTGGATTTTGTCAAGAACCTCGAGATGACAGTAGGAGTAATAGACCAGATATGGTACCAATATTCAATAGTAGATTTATAAGTGTGCAAGAATGGATTCTGATAAGATTTGTTTGCTTTCCATTTTCAAATGTGACAGGACTTTCTTTCCAACATAATGAATAAATAAATTTCATACTCACTTTTCTCACATCTCTTTCCTTCAAATCCTTCATGACAAGCACATGTGTATGTTTTGCCATCATTGAAACATTTACCATTATTTTGGCATGGAAACAGGCCACATGGATTAGCTACAAAATAAAAGTTTACCAATTCAGACATTCAAAAGAATCCATTTTTGTCTGTAGATATCCAATTGATATCCACTTATTCATGGCTGACTTCAACCAAAAACCTTTATCCACTGGACTAAGGATAAATGGTTCAGTGGCTAAAAGCATTGGTTGGATTCAATGACTTGACCCAAAGAGTCAGTAGTTCAATACCTGGATACAGCAGAGGTGAACAAAAACCCAGTGTATTGAATTAAAAGAGAGAAAACTCATACTAAGACATCCAGAAGAGGCATGAAACTAAAACAATCTGGCCTAGTGGACAAAATAAAGGGTTCAGCTCAAAATTCCAATCACCTCAAGAAGGCCATAATATACAATGGCCGAAACATCATGAATAAGACAACAAAGATGAGGAAAACAGTCCAAACAATATGACTAGTGTAAAGGATTTATCATAATGATTTGAGGTAAGTTTTTACAAGGCTTGATACTTTTCCTGACACATAACTCACTCACAATAGTCCAAGAACACCAAGGGTTTTATTGTGACACCATCCCACGGAGGCTTGCTTGAGACTCCATCTTAGTGTATATATATATATATATATATATATATATATACACACACACCACACACACACACACACACGAAGATCTGTTCAAAAGTAATGGGACTGGTGTCACAGACAATTTATTTCAATTTCAAATAACAAACTTTGAAAGTTTAATGCATTTTTCCATCCTCCTCTGCCACACTTCTATACACTGCTGGAAGGAATCTTGTTAGATGCACCTCAGCTCTGTCATTATGGCCCACTTGATGGCCTCCACACCTTTAAAATAGGTTGCTTTGATGATCCCCTTGAGCTTGGGGAAAAGGAGGTCACAGCAGGTGAATAGAGAGGTTGTTCCAGTATGCTGAAGTTCTTCGCAATCAGAAACTTCCAGATGTGCTGGTCATTGTGATCAAGATCATTGTCATGGTGAACCAGTCACCATTTGTAATGCCACAACTCTTGCATGTGAAAAAAAATGCAATAGTTACAGAAAGTTAAGATTACAGTTATATTCAGCCAAGATATCATGTTAGATGATAACACAATCCACTTATCCTTCTTTTGCCCAGAGCTCAAACAGAACAACCAGACCTGTTACTTTTCAGACGGACCTTATATAAGATATAGAACAAATAGGAAATGTTTATCAATCTAGCATGTTTCACTTTTATTAAAGCTTCATCAGAGAATGAGATATTGAAAAAAACGAAGAAGTAAATTCTGGTATTTTTACTTTTGTTTTGTTTGATTTTCATTGGTCAATCATGTTTTATGTGCATTCAACTTTTTAAACATTTTTAGTATAGTTTGTGGTATTCTGAATTCAAGGAGATAAGACACATCCATCCAAAGTTTCAAGAAATTAACACATTCCAAGCTTACTTGAAAAATCAAAAAAATTGCTATATGCATGTAAGTGTATAATTCTAGTATGTCTATATAGGATTCAGATGATAATGTATATATATATATATAGTAGTTCAGCACTATTTTCTTTTGAGTCTAATGAAATTTTCCTGTTTTGTAGCACTTATGTAATATCAGTTGTCCTATATCAGAATGAATGTTGGACAATCTCACAGATGAAGAAGATTTGAGGCAACAAAAATAGAATTCTACAAAAAGAATTTGAAAATATCATGAACTGAACATATGAGTAATGACAATGTTTTTTTTGTCTATTAACACAAGATAGAAATAGTTATTGGATCTCTAGCAAAAGGTTTTATGGTCAGATGAGATCAAACAAGAGGTTTTTGGGAAAAACAAAAGGCGCTATGTCTGGAGAGCTCCTAACATGACTTTTGAGGAGAAGAATTTGGTACCACATTATGATTTGAGGGTGTTTTACTGCAACTGGAACAAGCAAAATAGTATGAATCAGGCATCAATACACTAATAAGCTATAACCAAACAAATGCTTTTCATTAGCTGTTAATTCACAACCTATTAAGATAAAGAACAAATAGGAAATGTTTATCAATCTAATATGTTTTACTTTTATTAAAGATTCATCAGAGAATGAGATATGGAGAAAAAGAAGAAAGAAATTCTGTTACTTTTACTTTTGTGTTGTTTGATTTTCATTGGTTAATCATTTTTTACATGCATTCAACTAGTTAAATAAATGTTAATATAAATTATAGCATTTTGAATTCAAGGAGATCCATTTGAGGTTTCAAGAAATCAATAGATTCTAAGTATAATTGAAAACCCACAAATATTTCTTTATCACCACTCCTTGAATTCAGAATGACACAAATTACACTAAGATTTGTTTAAGAAGTTGAATACATGTGAGACATAATAACTGCAAGAGCAAGTAGATATCTTATTTGGCAAGCCCAGGCAAATCCTGCTGTGTCATCTATGCTTCTCCAAGGCTCTCTCGCCAATGTTGGAACCAACAGTGTAAGGAAATCTGAACAATGTCAGTTTTCATAGCAGAATACCTGGCAAAATGCCCATGCTTACAAAAAAGCACAAAAAACCAGCTTGTCTCAATAATGCCAAAGCTCATATTAATAAGCTAGAAATTTTCTAGCAAAAGGTTTTATAGTCAGATAAGATCAAACAAAAGCTTTTTGCGGGAAACAGTTGGTGCTATGTCTGGCAAGCTCCTAACATGGATTTTGAGGAGAAGAATTTAGTACTGCATTATGATTTGGGGGTGTTTTGCTGCAACCTGGAACAAGCAAAATAGTATGAATTGATGACATCAAGATACCAAGCAATTTTGAATAAAAGTGTCTTGCCCTCAGTTTGAAAGTTAGGTTTAGGTTGGAGCTGAATCTTTCAACAGGACAATGATCCAAAGCATATATTGAATTACACACAAGTACCCTTTGTAAAGGTATGAATCTGCCACTTCACCCCACAACTATGGGTTAATTAGTATGACATGTTTCAGTAAATGTTTAATATCTCTAAAAGATTCTGTCAATCTAAAAATATTTTTCAGATTTAAATAAGCTGCAAAGGGTTGAAAAACTGTAATAAAAACAAATCAGTCAATTAGTCCCCCTCATCATATGCCTTTACAACAACTGAATAACCTTCTACCTTGAGAGACTCTTAGATCTTGTATTAGGGAAATAATAGCAAAATAATAAAAAAATTTCTCTTTTATTGAAATATTTACCCCCATTTTTATAAAGCTCAAACATCTATGAGTTTGTTTGAAGCAGAAAAATACATGCAGGTATTTGATAATAGAATTATGGTGAAAATAAAAAAAAAGGTTCTGATCTTAATCTAAAATATATTTTAAATAATTTTGCACCATCAAAATCACAGACAATCAAACAGGCAACCTATACTCATTCACCACCATTTTCTTATATTACGTTAAAAGTACATTTGACTAAATAAAATTACCCAGCAGTGTTTAATCAGTAAGCCAAAGATTTAAACATACATCAGAGAGAGAACCACAACAAATACATACTTTCAGAAAAATTTTTCCCTGGAATCCTGATCTACACTCACATTGGTAAAATTTATCATTATTTATACATTTGGCACCATTTTTGCATGGTTCCAGTCCACAAGGATTGCCCGAAACAGAAATATTTATTATTTCATTAAACCAGTTTTGTATTCTTAGCAACATATTGCATTTCATATTCTAAAAAGCCAAAAGCACATATAAATTTCAAATTTGTCTGCAGAAAATTGCTTTAGAAATTCATGGCTGAATTTATCATAATGGTTTATTGATGGAAATGTCAAAAGCGTGTCAGACTTGCTCATTTATTAACTGGATTCTCAAATTTCACCGATACACAATGGCAAAATAATTCTCCATTTAAACTTTTAGTTCAGCATGATTGTATTTCAAGAGGAAGAAAATTTAAACTGATAGCAATTTACAATTTAAGATAAACCATGAATCTGTATCAAATATTTGAATCATGAATCAAATCATGAATCTGTATTGAATATTTGAATCATGAATCAAATCATGAATCAGTATCAAATATTTGAATCATGAATCAAATCATGAATCTGTATTGAATAATTGAATCATGAACCAAATCATGAATCTGTATTGAATAATTGAATCATGAACCAAATCATGAATCTATCAAATATTTGAATCATGAATCAAATCCTGAATCTGTATCAAATATTTGAATCATGAATCAAATCATGAATCTGTATCAAATAATTTAATCATAAATCAAATCCTGAATCTGTATCAAATAATTGAGTCATGAATCAAATCATGAATCTGTATCAAATAATTGAATCATGAATCAAATCATGAATCAATATCAAATATTTGAATCTTGAATCAAATCATGAATCTGTATTGAATATTTGAATCATGAATCAAGTCATGAATCTGAATCAAATATTCGAAAATAAAATATCTTGAGATCAAACCTTGTTTTCCTTGAAGAAGCAAAGTAAAAGATAGGGTTTGCATAATAATTATTTATTTATTAAGATTAATAATTATTTTTATTACATTCTTCTGTCAGTGGTGCTTAGAACAGGTTGAATGCAATCCTTGCAGAGGGATAAGACCCCAAGAAAATAGGACTTTTCCCCTGTTTGGATATGTAGAGTCAGTCAGTTTTTGTGCCATGCATGATACACTCTTAGGCAATATCTTTCAATACATGACTGACGAGACAGGTTTTTTCCCTGCAGTAAATTGCCATTTCTTTCTGCAGTAGATCAGTTGTCATCCAAGGGTATATAATACTGCCTGTCTTGCTATTTACCCATAGCTGGTGGGAGAAGAAGAGGATTTATACCTTTCCTAAGTATATTAGCACATAAGTGAATGTAATGTATTTGACTGGAACTCAAACTCAGCTCTCCAATTCCTCAATCCGAGCCACAATCTATTACTCCACTGCACCTATAGACTTGGGTACAAACCTGACCAAAGTCTACTATCTTTACTAGACTTGTATCAACCTTTTTGCTTCTAGTACAAACCAAACATTCATCTTTCTTTATGATACTAGTGTAAACCAAACTTGAGCTTGTACTTTTAACTTTAGTATAAGCCAGATTTTTTGTCACTGTTGCAAAACTGCCAAGTTTCTAATTTTTTTTAGTCTTATACAAACTCGGCTTGGGCCTTCTTTCTTTGACTAATGTAAACCAACCAGAATCTATGATTTTGTGCAGGATGTTTGCCTTCCTTTTTGACTCTCATGCAAATTGGACCACTGCTTTGTTTTGACTCATGCAAACCAAGCTGTAGTTATCATTTTGAGCAGGACTTGTTCCTTTCATTTTTTACTCTAGTGAAAACCAGACAGTTCTTTTTTACATTTTTAACACTAGTGCAAGCAGTTCTGTGGAAAATTGTCTGAAAAGTGAAAGGCATGAAAACTGATAATCCAATAATAAATTATGTAAATCCAATTAATCTTTTCCACACACTCAAAAATATTAATAAAAATACATTTTATACAGAATAATTATAGTTTTACATGCATAAAAAAAAAATAAATAAATAAAATAAATGTCAAATAAATAGAATAAATGAACATTTAAGTTCACTTTACCTTTAGTGAATAACTTGTTGGTATATGTATATCCATACCCACTACTAGGTCTTTTTAACAGTAGAAGTTTATCCCTTGTTTCTTGTTTAGGGTTGGGTTTCTGGTTCCTTCAAAATTCTACTTCAACTCTATATTTCTAACATCTCTGCCTAAACACTGAAATTTTTACTATTCATTTATTCATATTTTTCCACAATAGAAGCAGATAGGTTCACCTCTCATCTGGTTCATACACATCCCCAGTCTTGTGAACAAGTGTAGAGGTTACCCCCTTGTTTCCTGTTCAGGATTGGGTTTCCAGTTCCTTCTAAAAAATGTTTCTCCTCTTTTCCTTCCAGTGGCGCCTTGTATCTTGTTGGCATTATCACTTTGTTTGTGATGGTGCCTCTTATTCTATAACCAAAGCCAGATTTAACATCATGCTTAGGTGTGCTTAAGCACAGGGACCCATTGACCAGAGTGGCCCCATCTCCCTTCCTTGCCTGTGTAGGCATGCCTTTAGGGACCAAGTAAGGGGCCTCATAACTTTACTAGCACAGGGCCTCATTTGTCCTAAATCTGGCGCTGTCTGTAACACTCTACCTCAAGCTTCTCATGAGCCTTGTACAGAGTGAGCATCATTGTAAATTGAGTAATTCAATGACTGCATGTTGGCAGGATCAGTGGCATTAGAGTAATGAAAATGGACATGATGAGCATTGAAGTTTCCAAAAAAAGATATTTGCAGACAAATATAGAAAGCCGTATCTATACTGTCATATACTCTATCTAAAATACATCAGTCCTGAGAAGAAGGGAAACAATGAAGAAAGAAGAGATAACTGACTGAACTTAATAATGAAATTCATAAGCACAATTTGAAGACTCGAGAGACAATTCCCTGGGAGATTTCCATAAATATAGACACCAAAGTCATGCATAAGAAATCTAGATTCATTTTGATATTGAAAAAGATAACCAGGAATATAAAATGCCTGGCATAAACTCATCACCTTTGTTAGTGAGTGCTGGCATAGACTCAATATTTTTTTAATCATTTCACCCAATGCAAGGTGGTGATACCACTAGTACACAGGGGGTTACAGGGAGTGAAAGGGAAAGAAAAGACTGAGAATAGGGAGGATTGAGAAAAGGATGACAAATGAACAGGTTTCAAGAAGACAGATGAGGGCGAATAATGTTGCATTTAAAATTTTGAAGATTGTAGTTAACATGGAAGCAAGTAAACAGAAGAGAATTCCACAGATGGGATGTGTGGGAAAAGAAACTGTTGGAGTAGAAGTGGTAGTTGCATTTCGCTATTTCAATGGTAAAAGTGTTGGACCTAGATGACAATCTAGTAAAATGCTTCATTTCATGTAGTTGGGGAAACAAGGAAAAAGCAGTTGCCATGTAAATATTTATAGATAAGTCAGAAGGAAGCCACATCACATTAGTAAGACAGTGACTGAAGTTGTGATGTTTGGTCAGGATCAGTTATATTACAGATCCTTCTTTGGATTTTGTCAAGAATCTCAAAATGTACAGCAGGAGCACCAGTCTAGATATGGCAACATTATTCAATGCACGGACGAATGTTAGATTTGTAAATGTGCATGTTCGATTCTGATGAGAAAAATTTTCTGGCATGACACAGTGACCCAACTTTCCTAGCAATAGATGCAGCTATTGATTCGATATAGTTACTCTACTTCAAATCAGTGAAAAACAAGAAGGCATAAAGTGTTGCTCCCCAGGGCAAAATTTAACCATTTTTTAGTGGAGGAAATACAGTATATACTAATTCATAATATACTTACGTTCAGTACATGTCCTTCCCATAAAGCCTAGTTTACAAATACATTTGAAAGCACGTCCATGGTTGAGGCATTTTGCACCATTTTTACAGCGTTCTAGTCCACATGGATTGACTGCAAAATTAGAAATATCTCTCAAATGAATAAGGATACATAGCAGGTTATTAAATAAGGATTAAACAAAATATTTCACAGATTATAATAATAAATGCTGCGACATCTGGTGGAGCTAGTAGATGCTTTAACAAGTAAGATCTGGTGAATATAGTAAATAAATTAACAAATAACATCTAGTATAGGATATAGATGCATCTAAAACTAGTATCTAGTAGAAGTCATACATGGATTTACAAATGATATCTGGTGGATGCAAAAGATGTATTAACATGTATTAACAAGTAATAACTGGTGAAGGCCATCCATGCATCTGTCTATATGCTAGGCCACAAAAATCTCCTGAGCTGACCAAGCATATAAATGAATACAATATGGGAACCAGTAATAAGGAGTTCCAGAGAAAAAGCAATAATAACAACAAAAATTGCAATATGAGCTCTGATAAAAGCTTGCAATGATAGCAGCTAAAATTATAATATGAGCACTGGTAAAAAGCGGTTGCTGAGACATTAGGCTTATAACACCTAGAAATTCATCCACAGATGTCCTGTGGCACAGTGAATAAAGGCGTTAGTTAGATCCAGTAACAGGACCCAAAGAGCATGAGTTCAATACCCGGTTAAGGCAGTGGAGAACTTGGAGAGGGGAATTAACAGGAGATAACTGACATCCATTTAACATGGCACATGGAACTAGAACAATCTACCCCAGTGAGTGAAATAAAGGGTTCAATTTGACATTTCAACCACCTGAAGAAAGCCAGAGTGTACAACGGCCGAAACATTGTAATAAATATGCCAACAAAGATGAGGACAATAGTCCAAATAATGTAAATAGTGCCATCTATGCATTTAGACATATTCTGTCTCTCACTTTCAAGATGGACCTACCCTGAAAATTATAGACCATTCCCATTTTGTAAGCTGGCAAACTCAAAAAATCTGCAGGGGATGAAATACTTATTTTCGCCACTATAAGTAACATCTGGTTGATGTAGCAGATGATTTAATATTTAACATCTGGTGTAAGAAGTATATGCATTAACATCTGCTGAAGGCAATAGATACATTAACAAATACCATCTGGTGGCAGCAGTATTTGTATTTAAAGTTACATCTGGTTGATGTGATAGATGCATTAACATTTAAGATGCAGTAGATACATCAATAGTTAACATCTGTTGGGAGTTGTAGACACATTAAGAAGTAACATCTGGTAGATATTGTTGATGCATTAGCAAGGGACATGTGTTGGATGCAGTTGATGCATTAAGAAGTAATATTTGGTGGATGCAGTGGGTATTAACATGTAAAATGCAGTGTAAGTATGTGTGCTAACATGTAAAATGCAGGAGATGCATCTGAAGGGTAACATCTGGTACATGTTTTGCTGTATTAACAAGTAACATCTGGTGGAATTAGTATATTAATTATCAAGTTACATATGGTAGATGCAGCAGATGCAGTTAAATTTATAACTGACAGGCCCATTTGTCTTGGGAAATTTATGCAATATAATCATCCTACCAAATATCACCAGCATTTACCTTATGGGCAAAGTTTACCCATGGAGAATATACTTCTAGACATGTATAAACTGTGTACAATACAAAACCTTATGTATGCTATTTTTTTTCTGTTTTTTTCCTATACTCACTATCCTAAAGGAATTTTAAAAAAAATGGCCATTATGGAAATGATGATAAACAAATTGAAATTTAAAAGTATAGAAATTAATGAAAGACCTTTGCGGAAATATTGATGCTAAACTAAAAATTAAATGAAAAAGGTAGAAATTAATGATAGACATTTATGGAAATAGTGATTGGAAATTAATAAAAAAAAACCATTACAGAAATATTGACGACAAAAAAATTGGAATTTAGTAAGTAGAAATTAATAAAAGACCTTTAGAGAACTATTTATATATAACAGGAAACCTGATATTTTGTAGCACAGACACTGGAAACACACTCACAATGGATTCTGGTTCAGTGTGCACTGACATGACCTGCATTGAGTGTAAAAGCCTACTGACTTCTCAACAAAGACTTACCTTTTTATACGTTCTTACCAAGCCAGAGAATTTGCATATTGAGCACACAATAATGGGTAATCAGTTTTCTGTTGTTAATAAGTAATAAAATGATCCCTCAATTATCAATATTATAATAGTGCAATTGATATCTAAAGAGTCTGTCTATATTTCTGAGATGAGGTATTATGTACATTATTTACATTATTCGGACTATTGTCCTCATCTTTGTCGACATATTTATCACAATGTTTCGGCCGTTGAACGCTCCAGCCTTCTTCAGGTGATTGGAATTTTGAACTGAACCCTTTATTTCGCTCACTGGGGTAGACTGTTCTAGTTCCACATGCCATGTTCAAAATTCCAACCACATGAAGAAGGCCGAAGCATACAAAGGCCGAAACGTTGTGATAAATATGGCAACAAAGATGAGGACAATAATCTGAATAATGTAAATAATGATATCTAAAAACCTACAAGTGTCAACCTGCTTAAGGACATAAAGTGGTGGATCATTTTTCTATTGTTCTTAAGTCATGAACTAATCCCCCACTAATTTTTATATATAACAACTGTAAAAAATATATTAACATATTACCTCTGAGGTAATTCTCCAGCACATTATAGCAAACAAAAGTTGAAATTAAATAGGTGGAAATTAATGAAAGTCCATTTTATTAAAAGTAGTCATTTGAGAATAAGAAATGTTGATTTTAAAAATTATCATATGAATTTAGACTGATGATTTAAATCTGTACACAACATCTTTCAAAAATGATTGGTCAGTTCATTCTTGAGTTTATTTTTTATGTAAGAATTCATTATTTCATATTTTGTCCTTTTTGGGGGATTGTCCCAGTTTTCTAAATATACATTTTTGTTTGGGTAAATTCTTTTCTCATAATAATATTAAGGTCTTAACAATATATGTCATCATTCCTGACAGTATCAGAAAACAAGTATTGATTTTAAATTCTACTAGACATAAAGTGGGGGATCAGTTTTCTATTGTGAGTAAGTAATAAACTGATTCCCCAATAGACACTAAATATAATAATTGTAAAATAATACAGTAAAAAACTCACAAGTGAAAACCTAAAAAGAGATTAACAAAATTATATTATCACTTCTGACATCATGGGTAAATTAATATTGATGTAAGATTCTACTGGACATAAAATGGGGGCTCTGTTTTCTGTTATTAAATAATAAAATGATTTCCCAATTATCAATATATATAATAATTATAAAATAATACAGTGAAAAACTTACAAGTGAAAACCTAAAAATTGTAAAGATTTAACAAAATACATATTCACTTCTGACAACCTGGGTAAAGTAGTATTAATGTAAGATTCTACTGGGCATGAAATGGGGAATCAGTCTTCTGTTGGTAATAAGTAATAAAATGATCCCCCAATTCTCAATATCATAATAGTTCAATTGATATTTAAAAACCTACAAGTGTCAACCTGCTTGCGGACATAAAGTGTAGGATCATTTTTCTATTGTTCTTAAGTCATGAACTAATCCCCCACTAATTTTATATATATAATAACTGTGAAAAATATGTTAACATATTTGTATGTAAAGAAATTCATTCTATTTTCATATGGCTTTCATAAAAACTGTTTTTTAAATACATAAATTAGCGACATAGCTATAAGAATATTCAACAATTTATGTTTGAATAAAATTTCCTAGAATTGATCACAAGTTTGTTTTTTTAAATAAAGTTTCCATGAATCTTATAATATTCCTAATCATATCAATCAGAAAAGTGAATAATTTTCATCTTCATAAATTTAATCAACTTAAATTTTAAAAAATCTTACATTTTTCACAATTAAAACCATCAAATCCTTTTTTGCATGTACAAATATATTCTTCTCCTTTGTTGGTACAAGTGGCTCCATTCTTACAAGGTTCCCTGCCACAAGGGTTGTCTGGAATGATAAAAGAAGAAAAAATTTAAATGATTATATAACTTATAGAAATAACAGTTATCTGGTTATCCCATGAATATAAAATATTCATAAAAAATGTATAATGACTAATATAAAAAAAAAAAATAGGCTAATTATTTTGACAACTGGACTAAACTATTATTAATTTGAAATTCTATTGAATATCAGGTGTGGATTGATTTACTATTGTTATTATGCATATATATATATATA